GAGTTGTACGTATTCGATGTCGGCTAGCAAATATATATTGAAATGAATATTTAAACAAACAATTAAGATACATGAATTTTTCCCATAAAGTACCAGCTGATTTGGGCCCTGCATACAAAGAAAGATAACTCTTCCAAAAAGATCTTTTGAACCAACATTTCTGTTGATATTTTTGATACTTTTCTTTATCAATTTTGCTTTCAATTTGACATTTGCATATCACTGATATTCATGTATATTTCAATTTATAGATTTTGGAACAGATTTAACCACCAGTTTTCATGAAATTGAGCTTGATTGTTAAAAAACTCACTTTTTTCAGACACAATAAAAATTTATCATTACACTGAAAATTATATTTTATTATTATATTTAATTATTATTTATCACTGTATTTTAACTCATACATGACAATTGGGAATGTTTTAAGTGAAAAAGAAATGGAATTCGGTGCAGTTAATTGAAAATTGAAGAAATTGAAACTCATTTGAAAATAACTAAAAATTCGTCACAAAAAAAGGAAATATATCTGCATTCTGGTAATGTTGTAGATGGTTCTATAAAATAAAGAGGCATTGATATGCCAAATATCACCAGACGTGTTATTCTACCTTAGTTTGTAATCACTTTAAATTGAAATTAACCTCGTAAGATTTAGATTTTTTAATCCTGATTTCTCATCTAAAAAATAAAGGTCACATGCAGCCTCTGAACACCATTAACTGTTTTTAATCAACAGATGTTATTCAGCAAGTCTTGTCTTTGTAGGATTCATTCTAATGTAAGTCTTTTCATATAACAGTTATGTAGCATTCAAAGAAAAAAATGCTTTCTTGTTCGCTGCTAAGTTTGTAATGGGATATAAAAGTCGCCCTAAACTAATGATATATTGGTTAAGGTTACTTATTTTCTAAGGATGTTGTGTTCATTTTAGCATTCAGTAACATGCTTGAGTTGGAAGTGGCGAGGGAGACAATAATTATAACGTATAACTTAAGATTTTAGATTCTGTGAAATTTTGCGAATTTTTAAGCAAGCTTTTTTTTTTTATTTTAAGGTGTTACATTTTCATGATGTGTGTAAAATTTAAATCACAGCAAATAATTCGATCAAACTCAATGCAATTTCCAAATTGAATTTCAATATAAAACAAATCTTGACAGACATAAATTGAGTACAAATACGCGGAGTAAACACCCTAAAATTCCCGTCATTTAATTTTCGTTATTTTGAATATTCTATACATGACTATATTTGCTATGTTTATGCACATTTTGGACAAAGTCGTTCTTGTCGTATTTAGACAGGAAGATCCAAAATTTATCCCCTCTTTGGCTGTTTACGCGGAGACGAAATAATCAACTAGCTATAAACTACTGGATTAAAAAAAAAAAACAAAAAAAAAAAAAAAACAAAAACAAAAAAAAAACAAAAAAAAACCACCTAGGTTAGGCTACGTGTAGGCGTCAAATTTCATTTTCCCATTTGTTTAACCTTCAAACACACAAATAAAGTATTTTTGTGGAAGTACACATCAACAAAAACAATTTTGAAGAACATAAACTGATGCTTTCTTCATGTAGTAGTCTCCCCCCCCTCCCCCCCCCCGCAAAAAAAAATCCTGATAATTTCTTGACAATTTTTTTAAATGATCCATTTTAAGTTAATAGCCGAGACCTTCCCTTTTTCTTCCTAAATCACATTTCTTACAGCGTCTTTACGAACTGGGACGAAAACAATGTTATATGAATCTAAAATACAGAACTCGTTAATTTACTAACCTTGTCATCGGTCATTTGCAAAATTATTTTCTTGAGAAACTTTCTGATTGTACATACAAGTACTTTGAAGTTGATATTAAAAAGATGCTTGATGAGTTTCTGATTGAGGATATCTATGTAATTTTTGTGGATCAAGTTCTCCAACAATCTGTCGGAATTTCCATGGGTTCTAATTGCGCCCCGGTTTTAGCAGACCTATTTTTGTATTCATATGAAGCAAAATTTATTCAGAAACTTCTACATGAAATGAAGTCTCTTGCTGTGGCCTTCAATTCAATATTTAGATACATGGACAATTTATCAATTATTAATGTTTATTTTTATTCCTACGTTGATTCGATATATCCATCTGAACTTGAAATAAAAGGTACCACAGAGTCTGACATATCTGTTTGATGTTTGGATATTTTACTAGAAAAAGACGTTAATGGTAACCTAACTATAAAACTCTATGATAAACGTGATGAATTCAATTTTTCTATCGTCAGCTTTCCTAGTTGATTTGATACGCAAGAGCATGCTCTGCTTGCGAAAAATTTCTGGGGCGAGGCAAGCTATTGAAAAATGTGTTGATAAAACAGGAATGTTAGCAGTCTTGTTTAGGGTCAATATTTCGTACATGTAAGTTCTATGGTCCTCTTTGTCATAAAAAATCAACCTCTATTGAATTTGTTTTGCAAAGTAATAACAAAACACATAAGAGCATTGACGTGATGGGTGCTGCTGATGTTCATTTTCCAGAAGAGGGATTTGGTTAAAATCTTTTAGAAGGTTTATTCCCAGAGCAATATATCTAGGTAACCTATATACATGTATATAAATGGACGGTGTCCTTTTATTTCTTGGGAATCCGTAGAGCTCTAATCGATATCCAGTATTTGCACATTCATAAGGAAAGACTAAGCTGTGATTAGAAAGTCTGACGGAGAGAAGACGGACTGGGACAGCGACTTTATAATTTTCTTAAGAAAGATAGGGTATAATTACACTTTAAACATCTTTGTAGAACTAAATTACAAAAAAATCAATTAATCTAATTATTCTCACATTTCCAATCAGCAATAGCAAACAATTACAAAGACATACATGTTTGTTTCAGAAATGGTTTTTGATAGTCTTTAAAATCACTAATCTCAGATATACGAGACACCACCAATCATCTTTTTTGACCCCCTCTTGGCCCCCAGGATAAAATTGAAAATTCCAAAATCTTATTGCTCATCTAGAGAACATCGCCTATCATATTTTTAAAATATTAATTGGTAATTGTATAAAATAAGAGAGGAGTTTGAGGAAGAAGAAAAAGTGAAAGACGGACGGACCAGATAACACCAATATACCCGATTGATTATTTGATTGATTGGATGTTGTTTAACGTCCCATTCGAGAATTTTTCACTCATATAGGGACGTCACCGTATGCCGGTAAAGGGCATCAAATTAAGACCTATACTCGGCACTAAGGGCCATTGAGCAGGGAAGGTACTTTATCGTGCCAACGCCTACCGTGACGCGGGACCTCGGTTTTTAAGGTCGCATCCGAAAGACCTATGACTTTCGCTTCTAGTTCCGGGCGCTTGTTAAAGGAACAACCACTGCCTATGTTTTCGTCTTAAGTTTGACTAGGCGCGGCGAACGAGAATCGAGCCCGGGCTTCTCGTGCGCCTACCACTAGGCTACCGTGACCGGTACAATATATCCGAACTTTCTCTAGAAAGTGCGGGTATATTATAAATTTCAGAATTGTTATGCTTGAAAAAAAAGGACAAAATATAAATAATAATATACAAAGGCCCATGGACCACATCGCTCACCTGAGCACACTGGCTAGGAAAAAGCGGAAATCAGTTCAGCTCCGTATTGAAAAGTTTACCGGGGGAGGGGGGAGGGACAAATTTGAATTTACACTACCTCAGGATGTTTCCATATTAATATTACTAATCTTGGCTTTGCTGTTCGAGTAGAAGAATTTTAATGTTTTTCTTATGTATTTCTATGTAAAACTCTGATAGCTCATTGTTGTCCCACCCTACCCACCCTAAATGTGAACATATTTGTATCTTCACTACCTGAGGATGCTTTTATAATAATACAAACTAATCATGGTTTTCCTATTCTTGAGCAGATTTTTTCGAGATGATTTCTAACATTAAATTCCTATTTAAAACTTTGACCTTCTGTTGTGCCCCCTAATCCCTGGGAGTCATAATTTAAAAAAAAAAAAGATTCTTTAATACCTAAGGTTGCTTTTGTATAAATATGACTAATAACGGCTTAGTTGTTCTTGAGAAGATTTTAAGAGATATTTCCTATATGTTTCAATGGAAAACTTTGACCCACTGTTGTTGCCCCGCCCTACCCCCAGGAGTCCTGATTTGAAACAAACTTGAATTAACACTACCTGAGGACACTTCTATATTAATATGACTAATAATAGGTTAGCTGTTCTTGAGAAGAAATTTTTTTAAAAATATTTCCTATATATATTCCTATGTCAAAATTTGGCCTCCTGTTAGGTCTGCGCCCAACCCCCCAGGGGTCATGATTTGAACAAACTTGAATCTACACTACCTACTTCCTTATTAATATGACTAATAATAGTTTAGATGTTCTTGAGCAGAAGAAGATTTTTAAAGATATTTCCTATGTATTAGTATGGTAAACTTTGGTCCCCTGTTGTGGCCCTGCCCTACCACAGGGGTCATAACTGGAAGAAACTTGAATCTACACTAACTGAGGATACATCTATAATAATATGATTAATCATGGCTTTGCTGTACTCGAGAAGAAGATTTTTAAAATTTCCTATATTCCAATGTAAAACTTCGACCCCCTTTGTGGTACATGATACATGTATGAACAAACTTGAATCTAAAGTATATAAGACGCTTTCACATAAGTTTCATCTTTTCTTGCCCAGTGGTTCTTGAGACGAAGATTTATTATTATTTATTAAAATGCTTTGTGGAAAGTTTGGTTGAAATTGGCCCAGTGGTTCTTGAGAAGTTGTCGAAAATGTGAAAAGTTTACAGAAGACAGACGGACGCCTGACACTTTGATCAGAAAAGCTCACTTGAGCCTTCGGCTCAGATAAGCTAACAAGATTAATTATTGGTCACGATAATAAATGTAGGAGAAAAGCAAAGCTGTGATAAGAAAGTGTAAAGACGGAGAAGAAAAGCAACGATTATATAACTGTCATGAGAATGATAGGCTATACTTTCACTATTAACATTATCTTTATAAAACAATCACCAAATAAATCAACATTGTGATTCTTTCTACATTTCCAATCAACATTAGCAGGCAATTACTAAGACATAGGTTTATGTTTCAGAAATGATTTTTTATAGTCTCCTTTAAAATCACTTGGAAACGAAGAGGATGTACAAACTCGACGTTGATATAAATATTTGTCAGAGAACTGTAGAAGTTCAATGTGCCTCTCACAAATAACTATGAATAAAACTTTCATGACAACTGGAACTTGAAATGAATATACACTTTCATTTTCATCGACAAATTTACTTTTCAGATTAGTAAAGGCTTGTTTTAAACACTCTTTCCAATTTGGATTAACATTTTCAAGTCCCATTAACTTATCCACCATTGCCGAATTCAAATCTCTTAACGTGAGCTTTCCACCATGGAGTGCAAGTACAGAGAGAGCAATGGCTTCCATTTTCCTATCAATGTTCCTTTTATTTAGCATATCTCTCAGATATTGTCGCAACCACGACATAGGAGTTTTCACAAATCTTCCACATTGGTCACGCAATTCTTTTTTATCATAAAATTTACAACACAAAGCTATTACTGCTGAATATCCTATTCCCTTTTCCACAAGGGATTCAAAGCTACCATGAATGTTGAATTCAACCATCCTTTTAAAATCCTGATCTCTTATTACGATGGATGAGTTCTGATTTTTTGAGTTCCTTTCTGCAATGTTATTCATACTCATATGAAATTGTAGTATTTCTTCTCGATCCACTTTAGAAAGTTCATCGAGATTAATTATATTTTTATATTTCCTCCCTTCAAAAATAGATTCGTGTCTTTGAAGAATTAAACTTGTAACTGTGAGTATTATTTTGCCTTTATCTTTCACTACGGCATTTTCATACAAAGATTCAATATTTGCTTTTATTTCTTTCAGTTCATCTTCTGACTGCAGTTCATGGAATAAATCATCAAGAATAAGTACACTATCAAAATCTGTTACGACTGGGAGAGAATTCGGATCAGTTATCCAAACACACTTTTCCTCTTGTAACCATTCGTTGCAAAGTCTTTTAGCGAGAAATGTTTTCCCGGCTCCCTGTATTCCCGTTATGACGACAAATCTTTCCGTACGAAGAGCTCTTTGTGCACGAGAAAATGACCTTTCATCATTTGGTTCAGGTGTTGCCAACATTGCTATACCTGCTTCTGGGTCACTGTCGTTTTTGTTTCGTCGTCTCTCTGGATAAATTTGACATTGTTTTTACTACATGTATATTAAAACAGATTTTAGAACAGAGTAAGATTGATAGCGCAAATTATGATACTTTTGATACGACTTCACGGTCTACTATAATTGTCTTACTTTCTACCTTAATGATATATATATATATATATATATATATATATATATATATATATATATATATATATATATATATATATATATATATATATATATATATATCGTAGCATATTTCTGCCCCTTACATGCAAGATAAATTATGTTAACATGCAACATAATTATGTTAACATGCAACTTATTTATGTCAGCATGCAAAATAATTATATTGACATGCAAGTTACAAATCTCTTTAGAGAATCTAATTTAATGTTGGTAAACTTACTTACTAACGCGATTATGTGACATTATACAAGCAAAATGCAACCAAATCATTTTGAAATGCGACTTATTTATGTTAACATACGAGATAATTATGTAGACATGCGATTTATTTATGTCAACATGGAAGATAATTATGTAGACATCATCTTATTAATATCGACATGCAAGATAATTATGTTAACTTGCAAGTTCATCATGTCAACATGCGAGATATGTATGTCGATATACAACAAATGAAAATGTCAAAATACCTCAGTAGTTACCATGAATCTCAGAATATTTCATTGCATGACCAACCTTTTCAATGAAAGTTAACACTCACTTCTCAAAAGAAAACATAGGACAGCAACAGCGATGATGCTCACAGCCACCACAGCGATGACACCGACTGTTATGCCAAAAGATGCATGACTACTCAGAGCACCAGCTTCCGTTGTAAGGTCCATAGAAGTAAAAGACGTTGTCCTGATCCAATATATATGTGTGTCTATTATTATTTTTTTTTTTTTTAATTTTCTCAGTCATGGAATTGAAATATTATTCGTTTAGTTTCTTTAGTATTTAATTTCAACTTTTGTGCAAAAAATGAATAAAACGAAAGAAAGAAGCCAAGCAATAATTTTGATGGACAATATATGTAATTTTGATACATAGCACTTACATCTCATCACCATGTCTCCTACAATCCAAGTCTGAAAAATATAATATAGAGTATAAAGAGCATTTTTTATTACATAAATAAAATTGACATAATAATAATATTAATAATAATAATAATAATATATTTTAATTTTTTCTCTTTTGTTACCAGCTATCTGATTAGCTCAAAGTGAATCACATGATCAAGTATAAAAAGTCTTATAAACTGGGTGTTTCTACTCTAAGCTTCTTAAAAACTTGAAAAAAATCTCTACATAAAATCGTTTACACAAGCATTAGCACGTATCAGCTAGCAAATATTCCGCCATTCAAGAAAGCCTTTGAGTTATTAACATCGTTACAATCAGCAGAACTATAGCATTCAAATATGCGTACTGCAATTTCGATCAATGTTGTTTTTTATGCATTATTTTTTCAGACATACATATGGTTATTTTTTTTATTGATATAATATAAAGTATTATATATTTATATTGATTGAGTAAATTAACACTAAACTGCATTTTAAATGATTACAAAATCCTTCGTAGACATTAAAAAATCATTTTCTTAAATTAACAATGTTGAAATTTAAAACTTTTATTTTCTATATCATCACTATGATTACAGCATCAACGCAATTTATGATAACATTGATCTAATGAAAACAGCATATCTAGCAAAGTAACATCAATTAAGCTTGCATAACCATGCATTTAACCAAGCAAGCTAGCATTTTATGTATATCAGCATTAATGCTGGAGTAACACATATGAAGGCCTTAACCAGTAAGTTTTATTGTGCTTTATAAAATTTTATATCCGATACAATGTAACGCTACAAAATTTAACTGAAGCAATCTTAATGCATATTAGCTAATTGATAGTATATTAATCTTAAGCGTTTGATATAATGCAAAGGTCAATTGTATAATAATACTCACATAGATGAACAAATGAAGACTGAAAAACTTTATCTGGACAATTTTCCCCCTGACATGGAACTGTATCCAATTTTTTCGCGACAGAATTAAATTCTGGGCATCGGCCTATGTTGAAATGAAAAAAATATACTTGAAATAAATGTATTACACAAACAACCAAGTACAAACATATTCATCTTTATTAAAATGGTAATAAGTGGTTGTATTTTACACATCAACTCATGGACAGGAATGCTCATAATTGATGACCTATTTTTGTTTACATACATTGTAAGGTAAGAAATAAATAACGCAGGAACCACATTGCAATGTTATGCAACCAGTTTAAAGTATAAATATAAGAAAAAATAATACACATTTACAATGAACTTGTCAAATTCTCTTCCCACATTCATATCTTTAAGTTCAATTAAACTATTGATAGATTTTTTTACATAATACAAAAACTACCGGCTTCCACCCATATTGGATCCGCGCATATCCATCCAGATTTACCAAATTCATCGTTTAAACAGTGATATCTATTGGGGTCAGCGCATAACTCCTTGGCAGTTGGGACCCAATTAGTATAGGGACACGTCGTGTTTATTGAACTGAACATCCTGGTCCACTGCATATAAGGAAATATAAAAGTTTAACGAAACCTGTTTTATTAATATATTTTCATGTAAACTGGTAAAATAAACATGAATAGCTATAACAGTCTCATAGTTTAGTATCAATAAACAATAATATCTGTTATCATTTTCCTTACGAATGAAGAGAAAAATTCGTACTTACATATTTTAAGTCGTTCCATCAAATTTGTAAACAAAGTTCAGAGTCCAGATATAGCAGTGAAGGCCATTTAAAAACACTCGCTTATCATGTGTTACTCCAATGTACATCTTTTAAAAATGCACTGTGTACAAACTTAAGATAGATGGTTATTAATGAGGAGGTATAATGTAATTAAATCCTTTCCTGTTCTGATAGAATATGTAAAGAATAAGAATTTTTAAATCATGGATTTTGTGTATTTAGAAAGAGTAGTTGCCAAAAGACCCTTGGTAGTATTAAAAAAACAACGCTCACCAGAGCTATCTTTCGCTTGTTGTTCTTTAAAATATTTCAAAAAGACTTTTCCCTCTTTATTCACATGAAAAATTTTGATCCCATTTTTTTGCTTCACCATAGCATCAAGGAGGCATGGCATAATCGAACTATGATATCAGATATGACTAACTTGGTCTTGCTGTTCTAGAGAAGATTTTTTCTCTCTCTGAATTTATGAATTATGCAAAATTTGATCACTAAGTTAAATCCTCACTTTTTGCACTAGTGGTGCCCGGGAAGATTTTTTATTGACCCCAATCATTTTTTTCTTATTTAGTTGAGTTAAACAAGGTGCCTTCAGTGGATAATTTTTTTTTTCATTGCCAGTCCTATTCAAATCTTTTGTTTTGTTTTTTTTTTAAAGCTGACAAGTTTAACAAGAAGCCCATGGGCCACTACGCTCACCTGATTCACCTTGGCCCTGCAAATCTTAACAATTATTAAAGAGTTTGTTCTCCAATACCTATATATTCTTATACAAAATTTACCCCTTACTGTGTCCCCAATACCCGCTTGGGCGAAAATTTGAACAAACTTAAATCTGCACTACCTGAGCATGCTTGTATATTAAAATAATTAATCATGCCCAAGAAGAAGTAGTTGAAAAAACGTTACCCTATTCCAGAGATCGTGATTTGAACAAATGTCAACCTATACTATTTCAAAAGCTTTCATATAAATTACATCTGTCCTGACCTTGTGATTTTTCAAAAAGAAAAAGAGAAAATTTGTTGAATGATGAATCCAAATTTTCAAGAACAATCATTGTTCTTGCATTGAAAGAGGGTTTTATTCTTTATTTGAACAAATTTGAATTCCCTTCATCTACGGAAGTTTTGTGGCAAGTTCGGTTGAAATTTAAGTGGTTCCAGAAAAGATGTCAAAAATATGAAAAGTTTATACAGAACTCAAAACACAAGACACAATGCAAGCAGACAGACATATAGACGTCTGACCCTTTTCGATTAGAAAAGCTAACTTAAGCTTACAGCTCAGGTGAGCTAAGAAGGATTTATCAGGGCATTGGATCGTTTCATCCAACGTTTATCTTGATTTGTTTATTATCTTTATCATGGAAGAGTATGGTATCCAAAATATCAAAATGCTGGCTTAATAAACTTAAAAAGAATGTAGCATAAAATTGGACATGGACTCCCCTGTTTACAATGACATATTTAAGATATAGCCAGTGATAAAAAAAAAATATACGATGTAAATCATAAAGATTCCGAAGTTGCATATGCTGAAAATATGGCTTTGCCTTGCTCCCAGTGACGGGGTAAATATATGAAATATCAATCACTACAGCCCAAATGCTCAGATGAAATATTCACTCTGTCTAAATACTAATACGTAAATAAAGTTAACACAAATACATGTGCTATTTCAAATGTTTTGTAAAATTCTTTACGATGAGGGGTGAGTTGTAAAATTGATTTAACCCCGTACAACATACAACTGTAGGTCAATTTTTGATTGTTGTTTTATGCCCCCGTATCGAAGATTCGGGGGTATTTAGTTTTTGCCCCGTCCGTCCCTCTGTCTATCTGTCTGTCTATCTCTTCTTACGAGAGTTACACTGTGAGGTAAAACTTGCGTATTTTCCAGCATTTTGGGGGTACTTTTGTATTGTGGGGTTAACCCCACAATAACTTGGTTAAATCATGTTTGATATGACAGTATGAGGTTTAAAAAACTAAAAATAGACTTAACCCCCCAAGAATTTTCAGACATAATTGGATTTATCTATATTAACTATGGACATGCAAAACTCCGTACTTAAATTCACCCCCTCTGTTTAAAAATATAAACATAAAACTGCAGTGAAAGAATGCACAGAAAAACCTTTGGACATATGCACCCTACGGGCACCTGACATTACTTATATTTCTTTAAATACAAAAATATTTACCCCATACCTAATAATTCACAGGGTACACATCGCCGCCATTTGGATTTTTTTCTACGTCTGTCACATCAACTTGTATTTTCGTCTGAAAATCCGTGAACTAAATTCCCTGCAACCGTATTCATTCTGCGGTAAGACTTCCGAAGTCTCAACTTACGGACAGTGCAACCAAAAGGGCACATCACACTTGCAAATAGTATAAATCTCTCGTCAAACGCTACCTACTGCTTCCTCCAACAATCCGAGCAACCGCTGAAGGGGGACCGAAAGCTTTTCGAAATGCACATTTGGTGCATCAAAATTGGTACCGTATATGATTTACATTATGACCCCTGGTCACATCAAATGCACACAAAATAAGTCTTTTTCAAGTTCCACAATTTATTGAATACATTAGCCCCCTTTTGTCACAAGATAATTAACTATGAACCTCCTCAAGATAACATTAATTAATTAATTCTCTCTGAAATTCTCTAAATATAAAATCAGAACTCAAGGAAATTCACAAAAACTACTTTTGTAAAGGCTGATTCAGAGATCATTTAGAATATGTAGCTTTAAATTAAATTACTTGCACTATTTAACAAGAACAATTCATCAGATTTCCAAATACGAGGCTTGTCCCAGAAAAACGCGAACTTTTTCAATATCTTTTGTTTCACTAACACTATAAAGTTAAAAATTGGCATACACCATAATCAACATTTTTTGAATAATGCATAAACATTTCAATAAAATATCTCTATAAATAACATTTTTTCTCAGGTAAACGAATCTTACAAAATAGCTGTCGGCGCAACACTGACGACGTCAAAACGTAACTCGTGGCGTTTTTGAATTTATCATGGAATCGTGCGTCTAGATCTGATAAAATTCGTTTGAAGCATAAATTCGACACTATTTAATTTTCTTTTAGTTATCAAGTTATCCATCTCAGCTATTAATTTGCATTTCCAAAAGATCGCGGAATTCATTCTTTTAATAAACTTTAACAATTTCCCAACCGAGGTCATAAGTGAACCTAACTGCTCTCTGTTATACGACCGTCGCCACGTATGACGTCCAGCTTCTGACTTTTCAGTTTGTTGGTCTACCAAATGCTTTTTCTATCGAATACCAGTCAAGCCATCCTCGTACCTCTTGAACTAGGTATAAATCTGTGTCCGAGATATATGTTTGTGTCGTTCCATCGTTCACATATCTTTTTCACGTGTGGACAGGAGACATATTCCGCTCAACAGTACTGCTTGATAATTTGGTTCACTATTTTTGAAAATATCTAAGTAAAGGTGTTTTTGCATCTAACGTCATATTTTTGTCATTTGTGACGCTAAATTAATGAATTTTTACACATGAGTATTTCAGATCATAGAAATTTAATGGTGGTAATTTTTTTTTTTACATTGTATTTCCGTATAGCCTGGTAATAAAGAAAACTTCTCTGACAATGCTACAGACCCTAAAACGTGCTACTACACCACTTGCACGGTACGGTTCGTTTCGTTTTGTGTACGGTACGGTTCGCTTCTTGCACGGAACGGTACGCTTTGTGAACGGTACGGTTCGCTTTGTGCACGGTACGGTACGCTTCTTGCACGGAACGGTACGCTTTGTGTACGGTACGGTTCGCTTTGTGCACGGTACGGTACGCTTCTTGCACGGAACGGTTCGTTTTGTGAATGGTACGCTTTGGTAAACGGTATGTAAATTAAGTGGGCGGAGCCTGTACCCTTTAGTTTATGATTGGCTACTTCATTAAATCGTTTATTTCTTTATTATAATATCTTTATTTTATATAAATGTAAGGACGGTGTCGCAAGCATTTTTTAATAAGTTGTTTTTAAGTTAAAGCTGTTATAAATATTTCCTTTTTACAGCTATATTTTCGTTATTACGTGTAACTAGTCGTCTTATTAACTGTATCTGTTTTTTAATTTACTCTCTCTTTGAACTACTTTCAGTTTTTAAAATAAAATAATTTTAGTTGTCTGTTTATTATCTTATTTTGTGCACTATCGCCTTATGGTTCAATAACTTGGAAATAAATCGAACATATCAACAAACACTGTATGACAAGGAGAACAAGGATGAAAAAAAAAATATTTTGGTTGCGTCGCCATATAGGCCTTTCTGTATTTTTTTTTTTTTAAAGAATTAACGTACATAATTATGTTTTTTTTTAATTTCCTAACTGAATACAATTATTATTTTAAATATTCACTTATCACACTTTTAAACAAATGAGTTTGATTTTATAAATCCCTCATGCTTTCATTTCGTCTACCATCCTTTTTACGTTCTTGTTACTGTTGCTTCATTAAAAACATAAAACAAAAATAGAATTAAAAAAACAAACAAAAAAACATTTTTTTCTCTTGACCGAATGATCAGACAAATAATAATAAAAAATGTTATTACTATATTTTCATTTTTATTTGCGAGGAATTATAATTTACTTTTTACATAGATTTCTTAGGTGTTTTGGCTCACTAGTAAAAATAAATTGAAAAGTAATCGGTAGAAGTGCACACAATTAGTGCAAAATATTACTTTTATTTTTTTGTGCCCGTAATTGTTTTCCTTTCTACATAAATTTTCCATCAATGTTAAATCGCATTTCGAAAGGGTTACAATCACGAAAACGGTTCAGACAGCTACAATTCCATCTACAATGTATAAATGTATATAATATATATTGACTTCAAGACAAATTTCAGAAATAAATAATATGTCAGAATGTGAGAAATAAATAGTCCGGTTTCAATTACGTAGAAAATAAATAATATGCAGCCATGCATGTCCTCAAAAACTTTGAAAATGAATAATTTGCCC